GCTGATGGTGGTCTTTATAGACCAGCTGATGGTGGTCTTTATAGACCAGCTGATGGTGGTCTTTTTAGACCAGCTGATGGTGGTCTTTATAGACCAGCTGATGGTGGTCTTTTTAGACCAGCTGATGGTGGTCTTTATAGACCAGCTGATGGTGGTCTTTATAGACCAGCTGATGGTGGTCTTTATAGACCAGCTGATGGTGGTCTTTATAGACCAGCTGATGGTGGTCTTTATAGACCAGCTGATGGTGGTCTCTATAGACCAGCTGATGGTGGTCTCTATAGACCAGCTGATGCTGACCTTTATAGAAGGAAATATTCTTTAAAAATCCACGCCTAAGGCAAGGCAGGACCTTGAAGAAAATATTCTTTAAAAATCTACGCCTAAGGCTAGGCTGGACCTTGAAGAAAATATTCTTTAAAAATCTACGCCTAAGGCTAGGCTGGACTTTGAAAACAAAACTCCGCGCCTACAGCTATGCTGGAGCTTGAAAAAATATTCTGAAACAGGAAGATGGTCTTAAATAAAATGTTCCTCTTTATACACACCTGCATTCGTAACACCCGGCTCGGATTCTTCACCTTCTTCCATTTTGAATTTTTCACACGACCATGACATTGATGTTATCCCAACATCATTGCACAGTTGGACCTGTGACACCATAGCACCATGGACATCCATAACAATAACTTGTCCCTGAGTTGTACCAAAGTAAACCTGTTGATCATCGGGTGTCCATATACCACAGGTAATGGTCGATTCTAAATTCAACATCGATGACCAATAACGTTGACCCGCCACTGAACCGACCAATACAAAACCATCCTGATAGCAGATCAATGCCATGCGACCATCGTGGGACCAGGAGAAATGCGTGACTGGGGTATTGCGATCATTGATCAGCTCTATCGACCATCGACCCTCGTATTTAATCCATACAAATATAATGCCGGAACTATCACAGGATGCCAATTTTTGATATGGTTCATTCCATTTGACTAGTATAACCTGAAAGAGGAGGATGAGGAAAGGTGTTAATTGATTCAAAGTTCGGAAATAAAATTCAGGTGGCTACTCACATCTGATCGGTGTCCTCTTAAATTGTAATTTGTACGTAAAGGATATTCGACATTTTTGCGACAATGTGATGTGGTGAATGTCACTCCGACAATGCCACGAACATTACCGGTGGCCAGCCAGCCTTCTTGATAGTAATTGGTGCGATTTAATTTCCAGCCATCGTCCTGAAAGAGAGGAAGTGATACATCATTAGTTTTATGGATTATGAAGAAAACGGGATATTTATTCAAGAACCAGCCAACTGTAGGCGTGGATTTTTAAAGAATATTTATTCAAGGTCTAGCCTAGTTTTAGGCGTGGATTTTTAAAGAATATTTTTTTCAAGGGTCTGCCTAGTTTTAGGCGTGGATTTTTAAAGAATATTTTTTTCAAGGTTCTGCCTAGTTTTAGGCGTGGATTTTTAAAGAATATTTTTTCAAGGTTCTGCCTAGTTTTAGGCGTGGATTTTTAAAAAATATTTTTTCAAGGTCTAGTCTAGTTTTAGGCGTGGATTTTTAAAGAATATTTTTTCAAGGTCTAGTCTAGTTTTAGGCGTGGATTTTTAAAGAATATTTTTTCAAGGTTCTGCCTAGTTTTAGGCGTGGATTTTTAAAGAATATTTTTTCAAGGTCTAGTCTAGTTTTAGGCGTGGATTTTTAAAGAATATTTTTTCAAGGTCTAGTCTAGTTTTAGGCGTGGATTTTTAAAGAATATTTTTTCAAGGTCTAGTCTAGTTTTAGGCGTGGATTTTTAAAGAATATTTTTTCAAGGTCTAGTCTAGTTTTAGGCGTGGATTTTTAAAGAATATTTTTTCAAGGTCTAGTCTAGTTTTAGGCGTGGATTTTTAAAGAATATTTTTTCAAGGTCTAGTCTAGTTTTAGGCGTGGATTTTTAAAGAATATTTTTTCAAGGTCTAGTCTAGTTTTAGGCGTGGATTTTTAAAGAATATTTTTTCAAGGTCTAGTCTAGTTTTAGGCGTGGATTTTTAAAGAATATTTTTTCAAGGTCTAGTCTAGTTTTAGGCGTGGATTTTTAAAGAATATTTTTTCAAGGTCTAGTCTAGTTTTAGGCGTGGATTTTTAAAGAATATTTTTTCAAGGTCTAGTCTAGTTTTAGGCGTGGATTTTTAAAGAATATTTTTTCAAGGTCTAGTCTAGTTTTAGGCGTGGATTTTTAAAGAATATTTTTTCAAGGTCTAGTCTAGTTTTAGGCGTGGATTTTTAAAGAATATTTTTTCGTGGATTTTTAAAGAATAAGGTCTAGTCTAGTTTTAGGCGTGGATTTTTAAAGAATATTTTTTCAAGGTCTAGTCTAGTTTTAGGCGTGGATTTTTAAAGAATATTTTTTCAAGGTCTAGTCTAGTTTTAGGCGTGGATTTTTAAAGAATATTTTTTCAAGGTCTAGTCTAGTTTTAGGCGTGGATTTTTAAAGAATATTTTTTCAAGGTCTAGTCTAGTTTTAGGCGTGGATTTTTAAAGAATATTTTTTCAAGGTCTAGTCTAGTTTTAGGCGTGGATTTTTAAATAATATTTTTTCAAGGTCTAGTCTAGTTTTAGGCGTGGATTTTTAAAGAATATTTTTTCAAGGTCTAGTCTAGTTTTAGGCGTGGATTTTTAAAGAATATTTTTTCAAGGTCTAGTCTAGTTTTAGGCGTGGATTTTTAAAGAATATTTTTTCAAGGTCTAGTCTAGTTTTAGGCGTGGATTTTTAAAGAATATTTTTTCAAGGTCTAGTCTAGTTTTAGGCGTGGATTTTTAAAGAATATTTTTTCAAGGTCTAGTCTAGTTTTAGGCGTGGATTTTTAAAGAATATTTTTTCAAGGTCTAGTCTAGTTTTAGGCGTGGATTTTTAAAGAATATTTTTTCAAGGTCTAGTCTAGTTTTAGGCGTGGATTTTTAAAGAATATTTTTTCAAGGTCTAGTCTAGTTTTAGGCGTGGATTTTTAAAGAATATTTTTTCAAGGTCTAGTCTAGTTTTAGGCGTGGATTTTTAAAGAATATTTTTTCAAGGTCTAGTCTAGTTTTAGGCGTGGATTTTTAAAGAATATTTTTTCAAGGTCTAGTCTAGTTTTAGGCGTGGATTTTTAAAGAATATTTTTTCAAGGTCTAGTCTAGTTTTAGGCGTGGATTTTTAAAGAATATTTTTTCAAGGTCTAGTCTAGTTTTAGGCGTGGATTTTTAAAGAATATTTTTTCAAGGTCTAGTCTAGTTTTAGGCGTGGATTTTTAAAGAATATTTTTTCAAGGTCTAGTCTAGTTTTAGGCGTGGATTTTTAAAGAATATTAGGCGTGGATTTTTAAAGAATATTAGGCGTGGATTTTTAAAGAATATTAGGCGTGGATTTTTAAAGAATATTAGGCGTGGATTTTTAAAGAATATTAGGCGTGGATTTTTAAAGAATATTAGGCGTGAATTTTTAAAGAATATTAGGCGTGGATTTTTAAAGAATATTAGGCGTGGATTTTTAAAGAATATTAGGCGTGGATTTTTAAAGAATATTAGGCGTGGATTTTTAAAGAATATTAGGCGTGGATTTTTAAAGAATATTAGGCGTGGATTTTTAAAGAATATTAGGCGTGGATTTTTAAAGAATATTTTTTTCAAGGTCTAGCCAAGTTTTAGGCGTGGATTTTTAAAGAATATTTTTTCAAGGTCTAGCCTAGTTTTAGGCGTGGATTTTTAAAGAACAGTTTTTCAAGGTTCTGCCTAGTTGTAGGCGTGGATTTTAAAGAATATATTTTCAAGTTTCGGCCTAGTTTTAGGCGTGAATTTTTAAAGAATATTTTTTCAAGTTTCGGCCTAGTTTTAGGCGTGGATTTTTAAAGAATATTTTTTCAAGTTTCGGCCTAGTTTTAGGCGTGGATTTTTAAAGAATATTTTTTTTAAGGTCTGGCCTAGTTTTAGGCGTGGATTTTTAAAGAATATTTTTTTAAGGTCTAGCCTAGTTTTAGGCGTGGATTTTTAAAGAATATTTTTTTAAGGTCTAGCCAAGTTTTAGGCGTGGATTTTTAAAGAATATTTTTTTAAGGTCTAGCCTAGTTTTAGGCGTGGATTTTTAAAGAATATTTTTTTAAGGTCTAGCCTAGTTTTAGGCGTGGATTTTTAAAGAATATTTTTTATAAGGTCTGGTCTAGTTTTAGGCGTGGATTTTTAAAGAATATTTTTTTAAGGTCTGCCCTAGTTTTAGGCGTGGATTTTTAAAGAATATTTTTTTAAGGTCTGCCCTAGTTTTAGGCGTGGATTTTTAAAGAATATTTTTTAAGGTTCGGACTAGTTTTAGACGTGGATTTTTAAAGTATATTTTTTAAGATTCGGACTAGTTTTAGACGTGGATTTTTAAAGTATATTTTTTTTAGATTCGGACTAGTTTTAGACGTGGATTTTTAAAGTATATTTTTTAAGATTCGGACTAGTTTTAGACGTGGATTTTTAAAGTATATTTTTTAAGATTCGGACTAGTTTTAGACGTGGATTTTTAAAGAATATTTTTTCAAGAACTGGTCTAGCTTCAGCAGGCCTATGAAGACCACCTTCAGCAGGCCTATGAAGACCAACTTCAGCAGGCCTATGAAGACCACCTTCAGCAGGCCTATGAAGACCACCTTCAGCAGGCCTATGAAGACCACCTTCAAAGGCTCTCTACAGGTATAAAGACCCTCTTTAGCTCGTATATAAAGACATCCTGCAGTTGATTTGACCCCTTGAATTTTCTATCCATTTTAAAAACGTTTTTCCTAGTCTGCTGTCCTCCCTAAATCGCCAGTCATTATGGGTATTTCTGTAAAATAATTTCCTTCAATTGTCCAACCACTGAAATGATTTTGTCGCCGCTGCCACTAAAAACGATTAAACCACTTCCGATTGCAATAATAAAAAAAATACAAAAAAGCAACAACCAGTGAACAAAAGAGAACCCTTTAGCCGGGCAATTCGGAAAAAAAATATCCAGCAATCTGTAAACACACCCAACAACCAGCCATTGAAGCCACCACAACAACAGCAGCCAACTAAGCCCGAATATGTTTTCTGTAACAAACTGTGAATTGCCATTGACAGTCTAAATGGCAGGTTGGGTGGCTGGCTGCCTGGTTGAATGGCAGGCAAATGGCTTTAATAATTTGTTAGCCGGCTATCAAACAAATTTATGCCCTGCACCATAGAAACCATAGGCGGGTGAATGAGAGGAGAGACATCGACCATTGGCCAGAACATTTATGTGGGTGCATTCCAAAAGGGTTATGTAGTTTTTTTTTTTGGTTTGCGGATAATAGACATTTGTAGGCCTTATGCTAGTCTGCTCTATTGCCCTGGTGTTATGTAAATCAGTATCCGGTCCACATGAAATTGAAAAAATGAATGGCGGCTAAGTGGTTGAGAAAGGACACCACCATCACCAACTAGCAATTGCATGGGAATCGCCGTCATCATCACACAGACAGACACACACACATTGATGGGCCCACATTTCTATTCGCAATCTATTTTGTTGGGCATTTTGCCAACAACAACAACAAAAATATTAAAAAATATATTTTCCATTATAACAGCCAAATTTAAATGAATGTTTCAATTTATTTACTTTATTTTATTATTTGTTAATATGGCCATGTGTGTGTGGGTGAGTGCGTTTTGGGACATATGGTCGTCGGTGATGTACTCGAATTCAATGTCATGTTCGAATTGTGTTGTCCCATTTTGGAAAAGGCAGATATTTTTTTCAATGCAAGTGGGTACCCATCGAGGTTGAGATTGGAGATTCCAACAACTCGATTACGAATATTATCTGTAGTTTGTCAAGACCCAGCTAAAAGCTTGGATTTTTAAAAAATATTTTTTTAAGGCATGCCTATAGGCGTGAGGGTGGCGTAGGGGATGATAGATACCAAGCAACGGCTCTGATTGGCTTTAACATGGCGAAGTCCAGGCTTATCTTGGTCCCTCTTTCATCTCAATTGTGGGCACTGACCTCGCGTGGTGCCATCTGGGGTAGATATTTTCATCACCCGATGAAATAGTGAGCTAATATGTGCCGCGAGTTCACCAATAAGAACTATAAAAAATGGGTTGAGGCGTCGGGTTAGTTGCCCACACTCGGAAAACCGAACCTACTATGAAAAAGCAAAGAAAAAGAAAACCAAACCCCCTAAAGTTGACGACCCCCGCAAACGTATAAAGGACCACGATCT